TGGGCACTGGAGGCGAAACACTAAGATTACTGATGGCAGATGCTGGAGGTGATGGCTACGAAAGGGATGAGGTGCCAAATTTTGGCGTGCAAACTAATGCAGTCCCACGAGGCTTAGATGGCCCGAGTTCTGACAGCGTACCGAGAAGTAACAAGAACAATGTTACACAACGTCCACAGTGACGCAAGCATCACAACAAAGTAGGCGTTGACGATTACAGTTCCAATGTGAGCACTCTTTCCAGTATCATCAATACTGATGTTGAGATTGTTATGATTGTCTCTACTTTTCATATTCCCCCTACAATGACATAGGTGTCCGCAACCGTTAAGTGCCTTTTTGTGAGTGCCAACTAGCATTAGTAGGTTTTGAGGGCTGTGATGAGGGAGAGGCGGACACAGTCAGCTATAGAGGAAAAACTTAGGGTGGCTCACGAGAAAGCTGCACCTTTTGAGGCCGAACGTTGGCAACTCACAAGAGAGCCGCATCTAAGTTGGAGACTAAGACTAAGGTTACTTTCGCGAGAGTAAAGGTAGAGTTTGAGGTCTACATCTCTAAAAGTTGAGCTTATAGCGACTCGCAAGAGAGCCACTAAGCTAGAAGCTAAGATTGATGCTATTTGCGCTAGAGTAGAGACAGAGTTTAAGGGTGGCTCGCGAAAGAGCTGTTAAGCTAGAGGTTGAGATAGAGGCTACTTGTGCGAAAACAGAGGCAGGGTTACGGGAAGCTCGCGAGAGGGCTACTAGAGCTACGAGTTGCTTATGAGAGAACTACTAGAGTTAAGGTAGAGCTATGAGTAGCTCATAAGAAAGCTACTAGAGTAGAGGTTCATTCTCAAGAGATGGAGAGAAGAAGAGAGGTTGTAGAGAAGATTGTCAATGATCTATTGGATAGCTTTGCAGGTTCTTTTATTTATGGCTACTAGGAGTTCAAGGGGAAAGATTCAGTGACTTTTCCCAACATAGACTTCTTGAAATTTTTCTCATATTAGGAGTCGGGCGCAAATGGTGATGATGATGGCAAGGATTCTAGCAGCGAGGAAGGCGATGGCAGAGTGCTGAGGATGTTTGATAGATTGCATCTTTTGCCCTTATGTTTTTTTTTTTTTTAATTTTAGGTAGTGTCTAATTGTGCTCTAAATTTTGTAGGCATGGAATTCAGGCTTGTAGGCACAGAATTGAGGGGTGCAGGCACAGAATCGAGGGGCACCAGAGGCGTAGACATGGCATCGAGGGATGCAAGGGGCACAGGCGCAGCTTCAAGGGTGCAAACACGACAACGAGGGACATAATCACAACATTAAGGATGCAAGGGGCATTGGCACGACATCAAGGGTGCAGGAAAGACATCGAGCGCGCAGGCACGACATCAGGGGCATAAGCACGACATCAGGAGAGCAAGCATGGAATCGAGGGCACAAGGGGCACAGACACGGCATCAAGGGGTGCAAGGGGCACAACAAGATAGGTTTCCATGGTCCACATCTTGGTTTTCTCCCATCTTCTTGGAAAAAAGGGTTGACAACAATGGAAGATGGAGTATGCACACAAGGATGTGGAGTCGGGGTGCCCTGGCGTTGAGGTGGGGCGCATTTGCGCTGCAACGGGGCGCTTGGGCACAGCTCCTTGTGGGTGCCCAACAAGCAACAATTGGATGAGTTGTTGATTTTGGTTCACCAGCAACTGCATATTCTCTAGCAATTATGATTCAGCGACAAGATTGCCGAAAGGGGCGGGACCTCATTGTGATGTAGTTGATTATCATCTTCCCTTTGTTAATTCTTGGATCTAGTCGTAATAGCCATAAGAAGTGGGAATACGGTAGGGTGAAAACTAAATCATTCTCATAGATGACGTCAAATTGATGATGCACAAAATGTGTTTATGCAAAATCAATCAAGGAAGTGATAGTGTATGTGATAGTTTATATGATAAGGCATGCTCAACACAATAAGAAACACAAATTAGGTTTGGTCTGAGTGATCTACCCCACAGTAAACAACTACGATGACTAGAGAGCTTTATTACTCAAGGTGTGTTGGTGTGTAGAGAGTGCAAAAACTTGTGAGATGTTTCTCATGTGTAGATAGGATTTACAATTTATAGGCAAGTAAAACTTCATAACATTTTCGAAAGAGCCTTGATTGAGGTTTCATCACGGGGAACAGGGTAATTCCGTGAAGTCAGCGTGATTTTCGTAACATGTGAGGTAATTCCGTGAAGATGGCATTGTGCACCCCGATAACTACGTTTCACATACTCCTTTCATAAGATGGAAATCATCATGTGCGCTAGTAATAGACTGGACCCTCCAAAACGGTGAGCTTTGTCCAACTAAAATTATAAATGAACTTTCGTTGGTCTGCATATGTAATATGTGTTTAGTCTATATCAGTAATCTAGTCCCGATCTACATCTAGGCTTGTTCTGGGTTGGGCCGGCCCATCATCATGAATTTTTAAGTGAGAAGTGACTTGTTGGTCCATAATTGTTTAGTCAGGTCAGTGAAAACAGCAAGATTTGACTTATACCGTTGCGATATGATCTTCAATAATAAGGCTACGTTTTGGATTCTTTAGACAAGTCAAGCTTGTCTATTAATTAAGTTCCTCGGCAAAAAATAAGAAGCCAATGCATCAATGGTAAGAGTACTTGTTTTTGGAATCTAAAAATTTAATACAATTTATTGAAATAATGATGTGTTAATTTATATGATTTTCAATAAAAAAAAATTCAAAAATGACAGTAATTTTATTACAACATATTACTGTTTTAAATTTCAATGGCATTACTTCTTTTATCAATAAAAATCATAGTCTTGATATAACACCACTTGTCATTGGTCGTTGTTCCGACCAATTCCTTATGCGAATGTTGTTGTAATATATTGCAATTGATTTAATCCTTAGAATATTGTTTGTAACTGTTTGATTTACGTTTCAAAAAATTGTATCCGAAAATTATTTATAAAAAAAAATTTCAAAAACTGATTTTTATATTTTTTTTGTGGCAAAACTTATTTGGTTATAGTGCAGAATAAAAAACAAAAAATCTGTTTGGAAATGCACATGCCAAAAGATGCAAACCGAGGGCTATAATATTTTAATATAATAAATTTGATAAAATACAAAAAAAAAAAGTGGAAAATCTAGCCATGAACTGCATTGCCAGAGCTACGCCATCGACTAAGAAGACAGAAGGAGTAGCCATCGACTGAGAAGAAACTAGATCTGAAACCAGTAGCCCGAAAAATGATTCTTTCGTCGAAGAAGGCCTAGATCTGGAAAAAAATAAAGCTCAAAGAGAATTTTGCCGCTAACAACTCTTTGGCCGTTGGCGACTCTGTGGTCTGCCATGTGCGCATGCTGCTGCTGCACTCATTTCTTGTGTGCAAAATGTCCATCTATTTGCTGAGCATTGTTTTACAGTAGGTAGTCGTCGGAGAAGACCCAGATTTGAATCCTGCCGGAGAGCTCTCGGTCGTCGGAGAAGACGATCTCGTTTGAACTCTCTCTCAGTCGTGGAAGCTCTCCAGTCGTCGAAGTGACGTAGAAGATGCGGTTTCACCAAGTGGAGAGAGAGAAAGTCAGGCAGAGAGGAGTGGAAAAAAAAACCCTATATACTCCTTCTTTCTCCGTTCCTAAATATACGTCGTTTTAGATAATTTTTTTTTTCCATAATATCTTCATTTTATGAAACCAAAGCATAATAAATATTTTTTCTTTCAAATTTTTCCTTATCTCTATTTTCCAATAAATATTTAATAGATTAAATATACACTAAATGTCTTTTATATTCTTTTCCTTCCCAATACATATTGAATAAATGTATTTTAGTCTTGTATAATTATTTTTACTCATATTAGAGCTATTTAATAATTTCCTTAATCCCTGCGCAAAAATCTTAAACGACAGATATTTAAGAACGAATGAAATATATACTATGACTAATTTTACTGCTAAAGGAATTCGAATGAGAGACCTTATTAAAGAGTGAGATTGTTTCCCGTATTTTTTATTTTAGTTTAAAAACTCAAAAAATATCTAAACGATGTTCTCTAGTTTTTATTCTCAATTCCCACTTTTTTTGAAAAATTATTTTTGAAAATTGTTGTACAAACAACATTTTCCAAAATTTTGTATTTTGAAAACAAAAAACTATTTTCGAAACACAAACCAAAGACCACCCTTAATTCTAGATTTCTGAGCACTACATAAATTGAAACTATGTATGATATTGACCGTTGGGTATGTGTCTCGAACATGAATATTAGCATTAAAATAGAACACCAAAATAAATATTCTAAGGTAAATGGATTAAAATCGCGCAGTTTCTTCACAAAACCAAACCTGCAACAAGGGCAACATCCATTAACCACTACATTAGGCTGGCTAACAAACTCATTGCATGCCATTCATCAGAAGCATCATGGTCTGGGAAGAGGCTCAGACCATTTCAGATAGACAATACTGGCTCCAACATCATCCAATCACTTCGAAGTAGGACAAAGTTTGGCGAAAACAGCTTGGTAAATGGGTCAAGCAAAATTCAGCAGAGCATAAGAAGGCTACAGCCTGTGAAAGGTTGATCAGAATCACCTCACTGAGAGAGATTTAACCGCATGGAGGTGGAAAGATGATGTTTCCATACAGTGATAGGCCAAATGCAAGCGACAATGTGACATAGTAATCGGTTATCCATTCCACACCTTCATTTGTCTGTTGCAAATTATCTTTACCACCAAAAAAAAAAAAAAAACCTCACATGCAATAATGGCACTTTACAGGCATATACTTTGATTACAGTGACAAAGTGAAGAGAGTATTTCCAGATCTGAACAAAAACTAGCACAAGCGACAATGTGACATAGCAATCGCTATCCATTCCACACCTTCATTTGTCCGTTGCAAATTATCTTTACCCAAAAAAAAAAACACTCACATGCCATAATGACACTTTACAGGCATATACTTTGATTACAGTAACAAAGTGAAGAGAGTACTCCCAGATCTGAACAAAAACTAGCATAAGTCTTGATTCATCATTAGTTACCTTGTAAAATAGTATATAATCAGAAAAATGCCCACGAAAGATGCCACTAGAGTAAACATTCCCCGGCTTGATTTGGTCTTGAATACCTAAATAATTGAAAAAAAAAAAAAGAAATTATGTAAAAAAGAACTCATAACAATGGGAATGGGAAAGGTCAATAGAAAAGTCCATAGAAGGCAATGGGAAATTTATAGCAAATAACAATGGACATCTGGTTCAAATACCATTTTGAACTTATCCATAGTTCCAGACAGAATTCCCCTCGAAGCATCCATATCGTTGCCCTGAATGACAAAAACAATGAATGCAAAATATTATTAATCACAACAACAATAATAGAGGATATGACTTCATGATTGCAGCATACACACCATTCTGTCCAGCATATGATTATGACTCTCCACCTCCTCATGTATATCACCTGACAACTGTTTGACATTACACACATCAATACTCAAATTCAGAGAATTACAAAATTCATGAAGCAGGGAAACAACAGTGGAATTCGTTGTTTATTAAACATGACCGGATATCTCAGTAAATTCTGTATTATTACTCAGGACTAAAATGTATAATCATCTACTTTCGGCCAAAGAACTAGACAACCATGTTCACAACCCTACACAATATGTTCAGTAGTACATCAACAGAACTAAAACATATCATGTTTTTAACTTCAGAATCAGGGTAACCACAAACCACACAATTTATTCCAGTAAAGTTCAGACAAATAACCAGTTGACCTCTATATGAGAAGCAATCATATCATTTCCACACAGATTACAAACAAACTCACATCCCCTGCTCCACGCCAGACATCTCTCACCCAACATAGAAAGATGCGGAAAAAAAGCCAGAAAAGTAAGATGCATCCACTGCACACATAAGAAAATGTTAATATATAACTTACTCTTTTCAGCAGATTAACTCGATCCTGCAACCCATCCATTGCCGTATCATTCTCTTGTTCATCAATTTCATGTGAGGAGTAGGAAGAAGACGCTCTAATACCACCCTCCTCAATGCCATCAAAAAGAGCAGCCCTATTGCCCCCATAGTCCCTGCATCCAAGTACAGCCAATAACCATGAAAGAATCACATCATGTGAATTCGATTACTATTATAAAGGGAGAGGAAGGGGTTTGGTATCCACATGTAAAATACCTGTAGCACCTTTATTTGCTTTCCACTTTAGCCACTTGCAAGTAGCAACCGCTAACTACTCACAACTCCTCAACTACACATAACTCCTTATCAATTGCAATCAACCACCTATATAGCAGGGCCAGCCCTAGGCCTAGGTCACAGAGGTGGCCACATAGGGCCCCCGATTTAAAGAAATTTTTAGGGCCCCAGTTTCAGCTGGGCAAGTTTACTTATAGGGCCCATTGAAAAGTAGTGATCAGCTTGGGCTTTCCCTCTCCACTTTTGTCGCATATGTTTGCAAGCCAAGGCCCCGCACGCTCTCTCTCTCTCTATCTCTATCTACGTCTGACGCACGCCCACCAGCCCATCTCTCTTGTCTCTTCTTTTCATCGTCTCACAGCGGTCATGCTGCAAGACCTCTCACATTTTCTCTCTGCAATTTCTCGCTACAGACCACCATACAATCATACGAAGATCTTGTCGACAATAGATCCCTTACAGAGGCATTCAATGAGCTTACAGAGATTTGTTCCAGGTTTATTTTCTTTGCAAAACTAAATGAGGTTGCAAAGATTTGTGCCAGATTTTTTTCTTTGCCAAACTAAATTTGATAAATTTAATTTGGTGGTTGGAATCTGAAAAATGTTTGGCCGCTGACATTGAACATTAGAATACAAATTATTTCCAGCTATATTGTGGGGTTTGATAAAATCGGGTCAGTTTAATTTCAGATTTGTTCTGAGTCTTGTATTAATTTTCAGAGATATACTGAAAAAAAATTATTTTTCAAACTTCAAACACTTGTGCTTACACAACTTACTATCAGAAAAATGCATTTTTCTTGTTCATTGGGTTTTAATTTTCGCGGAAGGTTTTTTTCCTTTTTTTTTTGTATGTATCCCATAGTGCATACTGCTTATCCACCTTGAAATCTTCTACAATATTATTCCTATATTAGATAATATTGTTAGGTTTCTTTACTTGTACATTCAAAAGATTTAGATAGATTTGCCTGGGAAAAAAAAGATTTAGATAGGCTATATTGGGTTTATTGGGATAATGCAAGTTCATTAGACATATTTTAAATTTTAATAATTAGTTAGTATTGTCTATTTTATTTTATTAATATTGATGGGCCTCGTCAACAATTTTCACCTAGGGTCTCCATTGATGTCGGGCTGCCCCAATTGTATAGTTTTACTAGGAAGCACAGATATGAATATAGGATATGGGTACAGCTAAGATACGTCTATAATAAAATATATTTTATATTTTAATATTATTTAACAACTTAAAAATAATAATTTTTAGTAATTCTTTAACAATAGTAAACAAAATCAGTAGTTTTTACCTTAAAAAATGTGTAATCTCGTCTTATTATGAATATCCATAAAGTGAACATGATCAATTAAAGAAATTAGAACCAACACTAGTTTGTTTGCTTCCAAGTATTTATTTTTAAGGTTATAGTGTAGCTATTCATTCTTTTGACATGTAACAGTAGATAATATTTAAAAAACATTTGTGTCTTCAAAGTCAAATCGATTTTTTTTATATTTTGTATTGTATGTAAACTCAAAAACAAATGATATAGGTTAAAATTAAAAAATGTACATCTTACTTCATGTGTAGAAGTATCCATGAAATATTTATATATTATTTATTATCGGATACGTATAATGCATATCCGATATGTATTCTCAAATATCCGACGAGTATGGTATTCGATACGGGTACCTCGATCTTAACGAAATATCCATGCTTCAGTTTATCTCTACTGGCCTCTTCTCACTCCCATATTTCTCTCCCTCACCCTCGTCCTATCTCACTCCTTTAGGATCACGCACAAGTGTGGTTGTATGCACAACCCATTGGTTTAAATATATGGGCAAGCTCAACAAAGATAAATGAGAACCCATATACAAGAGGACGATCAAAGTTTTAACCTTCAAAATCATTCATGACAAAAGAAACAAAGAGAGGAGTATACTCAAAAGGTTCAGTATTGAGAATTATCATGTAGACATCATATGCATATTGTATCTCAAGTATGATAAATTAGTAAATCTGAAGTTTCTCCCCACTATAACAGTCAAAGAAAAAAGAAAGGGAAAAATTAAGAGTCCCCTGAAAAAAAAAATCAACTCGTAATAGCAATTGAACACACTTGAAACGAATCAAAAAACCGACTCAAGATGTATGCGCCATACCATATTGCATAAAATTAACAATATAAACAAATCGCATCCATGAACAATTCAAACGTCTTAAGCAAGAATCGGCGATTTGGTGTGTTCGAACGTGGAAGAGAGGGGCAAAAAAAATCAAGAGCAAATTCTAACATCGATGCAGTCATAACTACACTGATCAAACGGTAGAGAGTAGAAGAAGAGAATCAAATCACATAAATCAAGAAAATTAGGGGCCAAACCTTCTAGCATTCATGGCTCTTGATATCACAGTTTCTGGAGATCCCTTTCTGCTAATAGAAAATCTTACCGCAGTGTTCGAGCCCTAATTCTGTATCTGTATAACAACAACAACAAAAAACATAATAAAATATTGAAATCAAAAGAAAAGTGATGTTTAGTTTCATCACGGAACTCAAACTATATATGTATGGAATTGGGATGTTTGGAGCAAAAGAAAAGTTAAAGAAACCTGAGCAAAATCAGATCTGATGAGAAAATTAGGAATAGTTTGGAAGGAAGACTTGTACCGTTTGTTAAACAACAACACAGTAAAAGGAAGGGAAGCACCACGCCTGACAAGTATTGATCAATCTTATCAAACCCGGTCATGTACAGCGGTTCAACCCGACACTGGTAGCCCAGTGAGCCGGCCCGGTTTTTTGATATATCGAAAAATTCAGAGTTCTTCGTCAAAAATTTTTAATATCGAAAAATAATTTTTGGGAGCATGGTCTTATTCAATTATTCAATTTTTGAATTATATTTTTACATATATCTATCAAATAAAACACCTAACATTTTAAATTTTTATTTTTTGCATATTTTTTCATTCATTTCTATCGTATAACTCATTTTTATCACAAATTAAATAATTTAATTTTTAATTAATTGTGCCATTGTTCATGTACCATAAAATTACACATATTGATATTTGTAAAATAATGCGTAAAAATAATTTTCAAATCATATAATTAAAGAAAGAAAAGGAAAAACAATTACTATTTAATATAGTAATATTATTGTTTGAGCAATTTAGATTTTATATTATATTGTACTTTCAAGTACAAGTTATTGGTATATATATATACTAGGAATATCCTGTGGATAAAAACACGGTACAACATAAACTAACCGATTAATTTAAACATTCAACATTCTAACTAATTTAAATATTCAATTTTTAAGAGAGATGTTAGTAGCCGTTGAATAGATTTATTTGAAATTGTCGGAAAAAGTTATTAAATTTGTCATGTTTCATTTGTGTAGAAGATATTAATTTTAAATTTTATTTTATTAAATGATTAATTGTGAATGCAGAAACCCAAACATCCCCTTATAAGTATGTGGCCACAACAAACTGTAAATGCTTGCGAGTTCAAAAGCAGCTATCAGCAACTCCGTAAGCATATATACCAACTAACATATGCCAAATACTGTTTGATAAAGCTGTGTGTGTTCCCATGGCAGAGCTGGAAAGGAAAGGGATATATGACTGTTCCTCACCATAGACATGTTCTAAGTAACACGAATAAGAAGTACAATCATGATGAAGATACATGTCATTACAAAGATCACAACCCATGTGAAGCACGTGGTCTTAAAACTCTGCGATAATAACTCCAAGCTATGCTCAACTGCCTTTTCTGTTGAATCAACTACCTGCACTCACAATAAACTAAATCGTCAGTTGATCGATGATTAGCCCATAAAAAATATGCACACATGAAATATTAACCCCTAGCTTAAGGGTTCAAGGCTGGTGTGGAGAGAGAGCAGAATACAATAGAACAAGAAGACAATGAAAAATGCTCCCACACATATGGATAGAATGGGTGGGGATGGTATTGAGATACCAATTTTTTACAGTACTAACAACACATTCAAGACACAAGTAATCTGGTGTTGGTGGCCTTTATGCAGCAATGGCTGCAGGGAAGGTTCCAGTGAACTGATGGTGGTCTTCCACTATCTTCAATTAGAAAATTTGGAAAGCTTAACATAGCAGTGACGTTCGGTGGGCATTGTAGTATGAAGCACCAAAAAACATGACTGATGGAAATTTCCATGCCACTATACCAGTCCCAGATCTATATACAAAAAAAAAAACAAAAATGAATGAAATGCTTTCAAACCTCCTGGTTTCTCAAAGTGGTGCACCTACTAGCAAGAATAGAGTTCTTAACTCAGAAGCCATCGTATTCTTCTTGAATAAGTAAAATATAGCAAAATTCTTGCATTTTCTACTGTATCATGGCTATTGATGCCCAAACTACTGCAAGAATTTTAAAGATATGGCATGGAACACAACTGTCCAACCTACCTTCTCCAGCTTGTTAGAGTGACTTAACCATATACAAATAATATCCACTGCTCTCTCTCCTATATAACAAGATAGTTTGAGGCTTCAAGTTCTATACATTAAGTTAACTACCAGGGTATTTACTTTCACCGTGTTTTTGAGAGATTGACTCATCATTAGACTACTCTCTTTAAGTTGCCACGCCAAACCAACCATTTCATTGGTCAAGGCTTCTTGAAGTTTTCTGTTCAAGTCAATAGAGAAGCAATAAGAAACTCGCAACGCCACACTGAATCATTTGCAAATTGCAATAATAATTAATAACTGATACTCAATTTAGTTCATGCGTTAAGTTTGCATTCTTTCTACAACCTCAAGTCAAGCAGTTGCAATGATCAAGTTCAAAGATGGTTTTGTGCATACTAATTGGCCAACTGAACTTCTGAGTGGGTGACCTGGTCATGTCCTTGAGTTGATATCAAACGTAAACACAGGACAGTAAGCCGCCAACTTATATATAAATTGTCAATGATTTTATAGAGAAAAGCCAAAGAGGAGGACCTCCATTGTACAGTCACTAAGTGATGAAGAACCAATATTACATCCACTATCCATCTCTAAAATAACCCACATTCTAAAGTTCTCTTTAAATTTTCACAAACATTTACCCATAAAACTGGATAAACTTGTCTTGACAAGGTTTCATAACATCATTTTTCTTCTTGAATTCAACTGCAGGTAAGTGTATCACTAAAACACAAAACAAATAAGTCTAGAAATGCAAATCCAACATTTGAAGAGGCTAAAAATATGATAGCTATGAAGGCACTTAATTACAGATGGTGCTCTATCTCCTCAGTTTACTCCCATAAGAGAGGTAGGCAACGGCATCATGTGGGTTGGGTTGGGCAGGGGGAGGTGAAAAAGTGCAACCATAGGACAAAGAGCTCAAAAATCCAAATGACTATAGCCACTGGGCCCAGATACAGAACCACCAACAATTTCAGCACAAGGCCTATGTATGTACCAACACATGTAAGTAGTTCAGTGCACCCGGATCTGCATACAGGTATCAAGAACCCAAAAGGTTCTTTTATAAGCAGCAGCTTCCCACTGTTGTTATCATTCTCTTACTTTGTTCCAGTTACTAAAAATGCAAGTATGTGCCACCTACCTGTGCTTTCCAATGTGCACCTGTGCTGCAGCATCCAATTTGACAGGTGCTGATTGATCACCTTCAATTCGACAATTGATGGAGATCTGTTTCACTCAAATTGCAGCAAAATATATAGCCAAGGCATATGACAAGCAGTACAATAAGTGAAGCATGCAACATAGGTTCACTTACACAAATCTGCTCCTCAATCCAGGAGAGTGGTAAATACTTTTCCCTTCTGCTTTAGAAGGGCTTCTTCCACTGACAGATGTCCAAGCAAAGGGCTCCTGAAATACTTGCATATTAGACTGAACTTTCCAAGCAAAGAACTCAGTAGAAGAGCTATCTGCTATCCATATACTTGGTGGTCCTTTTTATTTAGGAAGCAAAAGGAAACTTTTATTGGGTTGGACTGTTCGATATTAATGGGAAAATGTAGAATGGGAGGCTTGAAGGCATGGAAAGGGGAAAAACTCCTGTCAACATAATTTCCGTCCGCCGTTTTATATTTATATTTCTACTGGAAACAACCAAAACATGCAAATTGTGAAATTCAAAAGAGTGAAGAGTATATGCACCGAAGGGACTGCTAGTATAGCAGCGGTCACTTCAATTTTCTCTGAATAATCATTCACCATAGCTTTTGAAACCCTGTATAAACAGCACAAAAGAAGAGATACAAATGTTACAAAATTATGCACCTTAGGAACTCTCAGATACCTTGACACATAAATATCATCAATAGACCGAAAGATTAAGACTAAATTAGCCTTAAACAGAATAGTTTAAATCATGCAATTGCATGCTTGTACCTTGGACAACACAACAGGCCAATAAATAACTCATCCAAATTTAGATACGAACAGAGCTGCCTATGCATTGCTACCACATAAGAAACCAGCTAAGACACAAAAATCTTGCTCAATACTCTAAGTAGCATATTCAGAATGGAGTATATATTCCAGACCACAACGCCCACAACACTGGTATCTACATAGTGAGTAGTCCTCATCACACTATTGAACTTTTAAATTGGTGTCACACCAAGAAAAGCATAAGCCAAACTCACTCATTTTGAAAAAGTCAAATGAACTACATGAGCCCATTTCTATCACTCAAAAAAGACCTCAGTCAAAGAACCCAATAGAATTTCAGCCTTATTGACATGGTATTTAGGTATTATTCCACAAAATCTATATATATGTACGCAAACATACTCCTACTGATAAAACAGTCCGAAGGAGAGGGTGAGTGCATCAATCTCATCTCTGATTCTTGATTGAAGCTGCATTCTCCCCAAAAACAAATTAAAATAAAACTTCACTAAAGAAAGATGTCTGTCAAGATCTTTCCAGTGACGATTAGAAGAATCTTCAATTTTTCTTTATTCCTCTTCGGAAGAAAAGACTAGGCTGACAAACTAAATCGCAATGATTAAAATAAGCTCTCATCAAATCTCAAACAATTCATAAGGGCATTCAATATCTGCATCAACTGATAAATCCTTTGAACTAACTGTGAAACAGGCACAAAACCCAAAAAGAGTTGAATAAATCCCTAATTGCAGAGAACAGTTCCTGAAAGACCTGGGTAGCCCTTCTGGGGTTCTCTCTTCAGCCAGTTGGTCCAGTTGTTCTCGTAAAGTAGCAACATACTGTAAAACTAAACACAATCATAACAGAAAGAGAATGATATGAACTCCACACCCTAATAGTTTCCAAATAAAACATAGAAAAAATCACATGATACACAGAGTAAAACCAAGGCATCGTGGTTTATTGACTGTACAAATGAAAATGGTAAAATACCCAAAAAAAATTATCCTTAAAAAGCATATAAATATACCATTTTCGACCAGAGAGGAAGAGATACAGCATGGCCATTTTATCCAAACAACAATTTGACTTGAAAGATCAGAGACATACATGCATGAGCTTTGACTGATTTTGTTGGTGTGGAACAGCTTCAAGCAACCTCCTCAGGTTGATTTCAGTTCTTCTCAACCCCATCAAAATTCATTAAACGATTGAAGAGAATTTCACTCAGAAAAATAAATTAGATACTAAATAGCCACTAAACCCTTTCATAACCCAAACGATAAAGAATAATTTAAGATCTAAAATTGAACCATTCACTAGTATACATAATTAACAATTATGAGGACAAATGGTTGCCCAAATTAGCTTAATAACTAGTGGGAAATATCAATGTTTAGGTTTTTATCATTACCAATAAGAATCTTGAAATACCAGGATGAAGAATTCGGGTCTTTGGAGCAAAAGGAAAGCAAATTCAGGGAACTTCCAGCAAAATTAGCACACAAAAAATAATAATAATATTGGAAAAAAGAAAATTCAGATCTGAAAGAGAAAATAAAATGATAAATTAGAGATAAGACTTGATGGTACCTCTCCAGGGAAGGTAGTTGCAGTAACCGATAGGAGGATTCGAATAGGTCGGTCAAAATTCGATTAATTGATACGAATCGGTAGGTATTAAGCAAGTTTGAGTAAGATTTTAACGGGTTTAGGTAATAAACGGATTAATACGTCAAACACGTTTAATAAACGGGTCGTGTTAGGGTGAGACCTGTCAAACTATTTATCTTACGTTTATCCGTTTAAATAAAATTAATATAATAATAAATTAATAATTATTTTAAAAAATTAGTAAGAAAAAAAGAAGTAAATTAATTAATTAAAAAAAAATAAAGTAGTAGTTTAAAGACAAAAGAAATGAGATGAGGAGCACTTCAAAAATAAAGGCAAACCAATGTCTTTTGTTTTTATTTCAGATTGGAAAATGAGGAGAGATGGGGAGAGTTGAGTTGCCTATAAAAAATAATGACCTTTTTTTTTTTTGTTTAAACCTTCAAGTCTTATTTTTATGAGATTTGGTTAAAAATTTCTCTTTTTTGAGGGAAGTGCAATTGGCAATAAAACAAAGTAGAGTATTAAAATTTATTAATATAATTTTTTTAAAAATTAAACGGATTAAATAAGTCGTGTCGTGTTATCCGTTTATTAAATGGGTCGTATTCGTGTTGAGATTTTTTACCAATTTATTAAATATGTCGTGTATGAGTTTATATATTTTCTACTTGTCACCCGCTTAACCCGACACGTTTGACATCTCTAGATTCAGGCACCATCAATTTTTATTTTCACTTAATTATTTATTATTCAGTCAATTCTTATAATTTTTTTTAACTAGATTTTTTATTTAGACTCTCTCTATATTTATTATTTAGAAAATCAAATTCACTTTGTAATCTATTTTTTTTAACAGAAAAATATTATATTTGTCTTTTCACCTAAGATATTTAAGATAAATATATCTCATTTAAAAAATTAATTATTCCTCGTACCTGAAGGCACGAAGTAATAAAAAAAAAGTCTAACATATTTGTATTCACACCCAAAATCAAATCACAAACATAAAAGAGAGATAAAGAAACTTAAACATCGATTATAGTGGAAGTGAGCGGTGGTAGTAGTGGTGAATGATAGTGGTGATTGTGGGAGACGGTGATGGTTGTGGTGGGTAAAGCGACTACAATGATGGTAGTAACAATCGTGGGTGGCAATGATGATGGTGGTGGTGGTGGTGGTTTTGAGTAACGATGATGATAGTAACAGTCATGAGTGATAACAGTAATAGTGGTAGGTGTGGGTAGTGGTGGATGACGGTGATGCTGGTGATGGGATGATGACATTGGTGGTGGGCGGTGATGATAATTGTGGTGGGTGACGATGGGGTACTTCTAGGTGACAGTGTGATGGGTGGTGCGATAGTGGTAAGTGTGGTAGGGGTAGCTAATAATGGGTGGCTGTAATAGTGGGCTATGACAAGTGGTGGTGGTTGGTGGTGGTAGGTGTGGTGGGGTAGGTGACAGTGACTAGTGGTGATGATAGACGACGATGGGTGATGGTGGGTACTGACGATGGGGCGATGGTGGTAGTGGGATGATGGTGGTAATGGTAATAAATATAAGAATAAGATGACGATAATAACAATCGGTGGTGGGTGGCAATGATGGTGATGGTGGTAGTGGGGCAGTGACGATGGGGTAGGGGGTGGAGGTGGGGCAGTGACGATGGAGTAGGGGGTGGAGGTGGGGCAATAGTTATGATGGTCATGGGGGTGGTGGGGTGATAGTGGGACAGTAACAGTGGTGGTAAGGTGCGACATCGGTGGTGATGATGGTAGGGTGCGACAACGGTTGTGGTGGTGGGGTGGTGAAAATGTTGGTGGGACAGTGGTGATAATGGTAATGATGATGGTGGGGTGGTGGGGGTAGTGGTGGGTGGCAGTGGTAGTGGTTATGGTGGTGGTGGGGCAATGAAAATGGTGATAGTGGTAAGATTGTGGCAACGGCGATGACGGTAGTGGTGATGGTGGGCAACGAAAGTGGTGCTGGCGGTGGCAGTGGCAGCGGCAACAACGGTGGCGGTGGTGGTGGGTATGGTAGGGTGGCAATAATTATGGCGGCGACGGCAGTGGTGGTGGGTGGGTGTGAGTGTGGGGGCAATGGTGATGGTAGTGGTGGCAGCATTGATGGTGGTGGTGGTGGTAGTGGTGGAGCGGTGGGGTGGGGGTGGTAGAGATAGTAGTGGGGCGATTTCAAACACTATTTTTTTTTAAAAAAAAGTTTTTACGAGAAATAATTTCTAGAAAGTATTTTTAAAAAGTCACTCTAAACACACCCTTAGGGACCTATTTTTTCTATTAAATTTAGGGTGTTAATATTGATCATTAAATTAACTTTAAAATAAAATTTAAAGCGATTTTAATCTTGAATAGTAAAAGTTATTTTGTTTATCTTTGGAGATTTGAATTATATTGTACTTTATTATATAGATAGAAAAAAAATATAAGAAAAGTCAAATTTATTATCAAAAAAATAAAACAAAAATAACGAAAATGTTAAGAATAGAAAGTGTTATTAGAGTGGTGTGTAAAAATTCACTCTCTATTATAACATTTTATTAAACATGCTCTCTATTTTAGAAAACATGCTCCCCAGAAATGATATCATTAGTTAATTGAAGAATAGCCAATTAACTGGATCATAAAGTTGTCAGTCGACGAGATCTATCCTCCGATCTTATGATTAAATGTTCATCCTCATAAGGAAAGCCAAGGTTATTCATTTACATCTTTAGTTAAAGGAATTCAAGTTGATCAAGAATGACCTCAATAAAAGGTGTCTAGGTCATCCCCACTAAGTCACAAGGAGAATTAACATTTCTAACTCAAGACAAATGTATGGACCGAGTTTCATTTTTCACGAACTGGCTAAAAGATCAGGAGAGCGTCCCAAAGCAAAACAACCTCACAGCAAAACTCTTTTAGAGATATGAAGGACCACAATACATCTCAAGCTTAAACACAGGTCACAAAGGTCACTTCAGCATGTTTTAAAAGACCGTGTCATATCTAGGGAATGTAGTCACTAACTGCTCAATATTTCCTCAACCAAATTCTAATAAATTTAGAGATCATGTGATGATGATATATGGATCATCTCACTTGTGGTTATAAATACAAAAGCTTTTTCCATGTAATGGCATAAAAACCAATTGTAACCTTATCTTCTTCTCCAAGCAATAAAAAACTTTCGAGCAGCAAGAGACTACATTAAAGTGAACTAATCAAGCTTTCTAGCTTATGAATCACTGTAATTTGTGTTGTTTCCCAGCTCTTACCTATATTTTACGATTATTGTTGTATTTTCTAGAGCCACCAGGCTCAGTCATAGGTCAACTCCATCATCACTGTTCATTCATATATCACTGCTCATAAGTCTTAATTTCTTCAATTCAAGCACTCACTTCACGTTTCGAGTTTATACATTATCACTCTCTAAAATAGAGAGCATTGTTGAAGATGTTCTTAGTAGGAGAGTTCTCCCAAAAGTGGTGGACAAGTCATCAAGGCCCCATTGGCTAGCTTTAAACCCTAGTTTTTGGTTGGGTTTGTGGGTCATGTATATAGGAGTGAATAACACTTTTAACCCTGATTTTTTTAAAAAAATATTTAGTTTATACCCTAAAAGAGTAAAACTCTCTCATTATATCCTTTAATCATTAAATCATATAAAACTGGACTAATGTGGTCCAAAATTAAAACGTTCGTTAATTTTTTTGTTTATACTTTTTTATTTATGGATATAATTAGTGTACATTACTCAATTATTTTTTTGTTTATAAAATTTTTAATTTTTTGCATGATTGAGGATGTAACGTAAAATTCTAATTTTTAAGGTATAAATTAATTGATTAAAGATATTTTGAGGTTAACAATGTCATTCGCTCCATGTATCTTTATGGTTCTATTTTTTTTTATCTGGATAATTATCATTCACAAGTATATTTTCAATGAATCTCATCTATTATCTAAAATATCATTGTTTGTTTGTTTGTTTTTAATATTATATTTTCTATATGATGTTATAAATTGAGAGGTGTTGGGTTGGGTTGGGTGATCCTATTTGATTGACACTTTTTTTAATTTATATTTAAATATCACTCGACACCCCTTGTCATTAAATGATCCATTTTTTTAAAAAAATATCTAAAATACCAAAATTGCTCCTACGGTCCTACATTAACCTAACAACCTTTCTACATAAAATTGGTTAAAATTTGAGTCGATTAAAATTTATTTTTTTACATATTAAAATTTGAGCCGTTACAATTTGTTTTCATATATATTAAAATTTGAATTGATTAAAATTTAATCAATTTGATTAAATTTTATCTTATTATGTATTAAAATTTATTTTTTTACATTTTAAAATTTGAGCCGATTCAAGCTCAACTTGAGAGATTAACGCCTATTAAAATTTGATTCGAGTTGATTAAAATTTATATTTTTTTACTTATTAAAATTTGGATCAATTAAAATTTGATTCAAACTAATTATAATTTATTTTTTACGTATTAAAATTTGAGTTGATTAAAATTTATATTTTTTATGTATTAAAATTCGGGCCATTTAAAATTCAATTTGACTTGATTAAAATTTGATTTTAGCCAATTAAAATGAATTTTAATTGGCTTGAATTTTAATACGTAAAAAATATAATTTTTAATCGACTAGAATTTTAATACGTAAAAATAAATTTTAATTAGTTCGAATCAAATTTTAATAAGTAAAAAAAATTCAGAAATAGACGAGTCTCATTGAAGATATGCCTACCTAGAGGAGTTGTGTATGAAATTTTTTTTTTAAAAATATATCGTGGACAATTTTATAAATTTGCATTCTAGTTAACTCTATTAATTTGAAAAGTGGTCTCAGTGATGTTTCAAATAATATAGAGGGTTTGATTGAAGATATAGCTATTTAGAGGGGTGTCAATGATAATATTCTTTTTATTTTGTGAAAATTGGAAGTGAGTCCCACTAAATGCACTTGTTTGGAGATAAGTCCT